GACCGCCGTGCAGCAACACACCCCCCCGCGCGTCAGCTGCCGCCTCGCGCCCACGGCCGCCCTCACAGCCCAACCTGGCACCCCGTCACCCCAGCATGAGCCGCAGATGCCGACACCTCCCCTCTCCCGCTGCTGTGGGGGAGAGGAGATTTTGGAACGATGCAGGGACCAGCAGCTCTGTCTGCATCAGGATGCTCTGCCCCACTGCTGGCCATCAGCTCCATCCCACTAGTGCCCCCATCGGGGCAAGAGAAGGGAAGGGGGTGGGAAGGTGCCCACCATCCACTGTGACAGCCACCAGTGCTGGCAGGACTTGGCAGAGCCGGGCATTTGCAGGCAGCTCTGGCCCATGCCCAGACACAGCTCCTCCAAGGGGGCAACCTAAACATAGCCCCCGCATTCACCCCCAGCAGCAAGGTGGAGGCACCAGCACCTCGGGCCAAGGTGAACTGGGCAGTGGCACTGGGTCCGGACCACTGGGTGCCACTGGGGGTGGCCACAAACAGCAGTGGAGACACCTTCCCCAGAGCTACATGGGGACGCTGGGGCTACTGGGATAGCTGGGCTGCTATGGGGCGAGGGTGCCTCTGGTCCCCCCTCCTCATGTCCAGGGGTCCCCAGGAGAGGGGGGAACCCCTGAGCCAGGCCAGGCTCTGTGTGGGGTGGATTCACCCTGCCCAGCCGATGGGTCGGGCAGGACATAGGGGAAAGGGAGCCCTGGAGAGTCCAGAGCAGGTTTAGGGTATCTGGGGAGCAATGGGGTCTGTGGAAAGGCAGCGAGGAGGCCATTCGGCCCCTGGGTATGCAGGCAGGGTCGGGCTCTGCAGCGCTAGCAGGGACAGGGAGGCCAGCAGGGCTGAGAACAGGCACAAGCATCTTTCTACACAATATTTTCTTCCTTTCAGTCTGTTTTTTAAAGAAGTTAGAGCAGTAAATACTCAGGGTGGCCTTGGGATAGGACAAGAAACAAGGAGATGGACTGGGTTCCTCCAGCAGCGGCGCGGGGCAGGGATGCGGCCACGCCATGAACACGCAGGGGAACCTTATTTTGGGGGGATTACAGCATGCCTTTACGCCAGCTACAGGATGGCTGGGGATGGGTCACCTGAAGCCCCGCGGTGCGGCAGGGAGGTGCTGCCAGCACGTTGGGGATCAGGAGCACCAGTGCAACTACCGGGGTTCCTGCTGTGCCGAGAGCTGGGGCACACACCCCTCTTTCGGCTCTCCTCCAGGAGCCCAGCCCCTCTGAACCCTCTTCTCTCTGCTTCTACCCAAGCCTTGGGCAGGGTGAGGTCAGGATCTCGCCCCTGCTTGGTGATGTAGGGACCTGCAAAGGGGGGGATCTCCCTGCCATGCCCCCAGCTCGCTGCTGCCCAGCAGCAGAGCTGCTCCTGCCCACGACCGATGGGATCCCAAGGCACTCGGGGCAGGGGGTGACAGCACGGACATGAGGCTGAGACCCCCGGGTGTCTTCCCCACCGGTGGCACAGCCGCAGGGATGCTGTTGCTGTGGG